CGACTCACAGTTGCGGTTTGTATTACAGATAAACGAATTTGTGTATCTATCTACATCATTCACGGCGGTGCTCAAATTTAGCTCTAACAATGTTCATACCATACATTTCATTCATTGAAAATTGATCTTCATATCATATATTCTACCAAGTTATTCAGGGAAAAAAATAAGATAAAAAACCTCTAAGCAACAACTAAGCAAAGTAATCTTAGCCTTTCAACATAGCATTAATATTAGTGTTACATGTCCAGTTAATCTAAATATTTAAAGTAGGCTACTACTTATGAATAACAAATTAATCGTTACATTTTGAATTTGGGACCGAACTGTAGAACAATTTAAGAAATAATTATTTCCACCAAGTGCAGTTGTTTTCATTAGATCACACACATCAGCTTGAAGCTCTCCAAGTTTATACTATAGGAAACACTTCCCTGTGTTGCTTTTCGATTGCACATCCCTCTCATACTTCACTTGTATCTTAAATTTCAGGAAATGCATACACCATCTTTTGTTTCTGTAAGTTTTTTAAACTTTGAAAGTTGAGATGAGCAAGCCTTTTTTTACAACAATTAAGTGGATTCAACCACATTGGCCTTCATACTGAGTCAACATAATTGAGAAAGCTGCAAACGCTGCAGCAGTGGCTATTACTGGTAGTGTTGCGATGGCAGCAGGTTGTCCAGCCACCGTAGTCAGTCGCAAGGAGCGGTGGCGTGCGACCACGCCATGGTTTCCATTCTCCATTCTAATTTCAGGCACATAGCGAGTGTCGTTCGTCGTGGTTTCAAAACTTTTCAACCATGTTTTTTTGTTCTCTAGAGCAAACAAATCAAGGAATTAAAAATTCGGAGATTGAGTACGTTAGAAATTCAAAGAGGGTAGAAATTCAGAAGGAATTGTCAGAGCATCTTTGATATTTGAACCAAGCTCTGAAAGAAAATCCGTCGTCTTTTGTCTGGACGAATTTGTACCTACAAAACAATTATGTGGAGTGGCAGGGCCTTGTGGATTTGTTGGATGTATTTAGGCTTTGCTAAGCCTGTTGAACCCATCAACTATGTCTAGTTAAATTGAAGAGAATTCAAATTTAAGTAGAAAGACTGCATTAGTTAATTACTAAATTGACCTAAACTACAAACGCTTGCATCTGTTGACTGTTCCATAAAATAGAAAGCTACTAATCATTTTAGTGATAGATTCAGGATTTAAACAAATTCATTAATTAAGCTACCATATACATTCATACGTACAAACATACATACATATAGATGTATATATCTACAAGGTCTCAGATCTCAGGTCATGCATCTAACATCTAACCGCAACAAATAATAAAGAAAATGTCTAGACCTTCATTGCCTCCTTACCCACCTTATTTTAGCTTCTGTTCCGATGCCGCATGCTGTGGTCAAGGTTTGTTTATCATTCTCAAGTTATGTTTTGTTTATTTATTTATAATATAACAAAAACACAACTACACATATATTTGACGTAGAATGTTTGTAGATTAGATAGTCCTTCAAATTTGAATGTTGTGTGCACTATTTCCAGGATTGAAATTCGTTTGGCCAGAAATAGTTCGAAAGCCTGCTTGGGAGGCTGCAACAATAATCAAGAAGGACAACCCATCGGTTACGGTTGTTGTCCTAAAACCTGGCTTCGTTGGACTGCACGATTTTTGTTGCAATTGTGTGTATGTTAACACTGATGAAAATGGAAAAGTCTTTCTGATACCTAGAATCGGGTAGAGACTAGAGAATGGTCCCGTGGTCTAGTCCTTAAGTCTATCATCTCATCACATGCATAACAGTTGTAATAAAGCATGGATTTAGGATGACCTTCCTAGCTCATGATGTAATTTTCCCTACGAATAAAATCTTCATTTTATATGTAAAATAATAATAATACAGTATAATGAGAGTCCTTAGGTTCAACTCTTGTAAAAGAAAAGTTTGACACCAAATTATCGGCCCACATCGCGTGTTAGTCCAAATACTTCACTTTTTAGTGTAAATATTCTAAAAATTCAAAGTGATAGTGTTAGAGGGATCTCCTTTAGCCTACTTTGTATTATTCAATTACCATCTTGGGAGGCTCCGTATTAAGCGCAATTATGACAGGGGAGCTACGGACATGGGGACATGGCCTCCTACCTGAAAGTCCAATGCACCATCTGGCCTTTGGAAAGTTTATGCAACCTAAGGGTTGTGGTTTATAACATTCAAACTTAGGCTCTACGCTATTCAAGGGAATAATAAAAAAGACGATCTAGAAATCATCTGAGGGTGGCTCTCAGTGCTAACCCTGAGTACGATTACTTCATCACAGACTAGCGTACTAAGTCAAGTACGTTCTACAACACTATGTGGGTAAGCATGTCTGAAGGAGGCATCCAGACTTGGAATTCCTCAAGTGGAATTTTATTCCAAAGGAGTCTGATACACTAAATACCTTAGCCAAGTCACCTAAGTGTAGTCCGATCGGAAACTCTTAGGTCCGACGCGTTGGATCTAACAAAAGGATTCTAAAAGTGCTTCCAACCCACATACAAGCAACAAAGTCCCTAACCAACTTTTGACTTAGATTCACTAGGGATGGACATGCAATTTGAATTGGGAATGAAGCCCCTTATTGGTGACACGTTACGACCTTCAAAATCGAAGTGTCGAGGGCATTCCGGACTAAGTTCTCTCACTTTCTTATCCTTAGTCTAACCAATACAATATGGCAAGTGCGAAATAAAATAATTTTTCATGGGCTTAGATACGGTTCCGAAGTAAGGTGGTATTCCGATTATCGCAATGAAAATCTTTACAAACACCAAGTTTGGGAGGTAATATTTTTCGAATCATTATTACCTAGGCCAAGTGTACAAGCTTGTTTATGTTTCACTTTGTTACTCGTTACACCAAAGTTAGATTACTTTTGAAAGTTTTTTGGATTTAAATATTATTCCGTGTTTAGGAAGCAAAGGATTAAAAGTTTCATACACTTTATTCTAACATGATCAACATTTTACATAAAGTTAAAATTCTCATATACGAGTAAGCACATGTTATTTATCAAAGTATCATGAATAGGGTAAAAGAACTACAATACTTCTAGTTATGAGAATTTACACTTCTAGTTATGAGATAAAATAAAATAAAAACCCTTTACAAATAAAATAAAAAGAGAAAATGAAATTATAGAAAATCATATAAGAATTTACACTTCTAGTTATGAGATAAAAAAATAAAAACCCTTCACAAATAAAATAAAAGGAGAAAATGAAATTAAAAATTACATTGAAAGAATCGTATGAGATCAAAAAATAACTTCTAGTTATGTGCCCAAAAAAACTCCTAACTAGGTTAAAAAATGGGGGATTCAGGAGTTCGGTCCACTAGTGTAAAATAGGGTTCATAACCACAAGAAGGTCAAATGTTAGACCTATTATATGGAGCAACTTGTACCTTTGTGCAAGCCTATGTTGCACTAGATGGATATGTCTTTAGTCTTCTTCACAATGTGACAGCTTCACTTGTTCAGTCTTCACAAGGAGAGAGTTTCACTTCTTCAACTCATCACCTTGTGGCATCAAAATGAGGCATATAACTGCTAATGATATGAAGAGATGAAAAGACGATCTGCAATTTTGGATTCAACGTTGACAAGTCAGTTTCTTCATACAAAGATTTGGAATGAAGAAATTAACTGAAAATCTAACACTAAGGTCTATATGAATATTTTAAAGTAAACTTTAGACCATGAACAATGGTAGTTTTTTCACAAAGATTTTATACACACTACTACAAAAGAGCCTTATAGTGTCAGTGGCTGGCGTCGGTTTAATTTAATATAGTGGCGGATAAGACAGTTGCGACACTAAATGAAGATGACGTCGGATTTACTGTCGCTTTTTAGCGTCATAAAATGTCTACGTCGCTTTTAAACCGACGTAAACATTTAACGTCGCTTAGAACCGACATATATTTTAATAATTTTAAATAATAGCGTCGCTTTTTAGCGACATAAAGTATTAGTGTCGCTTTTAAGCGACATAAATTATTATTTTTAAATAATTTAAAGCTTGCGTCGGTTATAAGCGACATAGATTTTAGTTTTTTAAAATATTTTAAAACTTAGTGTCGGTTGTAGCTACGGATTGAGGGTCTTTATATACCCTCCCGTGTTCTCTTTCATCCTCTCTTCCATTTTTCTTGTTTGCTCTTCCTCTCTTACAAACCCTCCCCTTGTTCTTTCACTTAGACCTTTCTTGTTTGTTCTTCCAATTTCGTTTGTTACTTCTTCAACAACAGTAAGTGTTTTTTGCTTTTTAATATTTTTATTTTCTCCTATTATGTTTAATTTTTATTTACAATTCATTTTTGTAGGGAATTTATTTGAGCTACTTGACTACGTAAAGAATTCAACGACGACGGAATTCTTCCATAATTCAGGTTTCTATCACTAAATTCTTTAATTGTATAAAACACAAGTTTATTTATTTAAAAATTCTAATTTAAGTGCTTAGATAAATTTCTATTATTTTTGTTAAATTAATTTATATTTAGTCGAATTAATTAATTTTGTCACTTGAATTGTTATGAGAAAATGGAAATGAATAATATTTATTAGCATTTATGTTAAATTAACAATATTAAATATAACATAAACTTATAATATTTAGTAATATAAGAATATATTATGTTAAATTAATTTGTTTTGTACAGTAATTGTTATTTTAATTTGTTTTTGCTGTTATTTTGATAACTTTTGGTTGGTATTTATTAGAATGGATTAGATAAGCATAATTTTGATAAATTTTTGTTGTTATTTTAATTTGTTTTCACTATAATAGGTGTTGAAAATTAAAAGATTGCAATTGTGATAGAGTTCGAGGGTTGAAAGATAGAAATTGAAAATTCTAATAGTTATGCCTACATGATAGGGATTGAAAGATTGTAGGCATCTTAGTGTGAAGGTACTATTTTGCCCTCGTAAAGTGGTAAAGCATGGACAAGAGTTGGTTGATGATACCTCGAAATTTTGAAGCGTATACAGCTAGAATTAATTCGTTTTTGGATCAAGCAGTTGCAAATGGTGTTGGACCTGATAAGTTTAGATGTCCTTGCAAAAGATGTTGTAATCGATACACTTTTGTTAGGAACACTATTGTTGAACATCTCATATTGTATGATATGGATAAAGATTATATAAAAACGCTTGGTGGCGACATCATGGCGAGCAAAAACATTGGAGAGCAAAATATGGCAATTGGAGAAGAAGAAACAGGAGATGAGGTGATTGGCATGCATGATTTTCTTAATGATGTATTTGTCCAACCATTAACAGAAGAAGGTGTTGGGCCGTCTACTGAACCCCCCATTAGGGAAGGGCGTCCAGAAGAGGTGGAGACTTTTTTTAGGTTGCTTGAAGAGGCAGATCAAGATTTGTGGCCAGGTTGTAAGCAGTTTAAGAAATTGGAAGCAGTTGTAAGACTGTATCAGATTAAGTGTTTAGCGGGAATGCCAGATGAGATCTTCACCACTTTACTGGAGTTAATTAAAAGAATGTTGCCTGAAGGGGATTGTTTGCCTGAAACCTGTTACAAGGCAAAAAAACTTATAAATGACTTGGGTCTGTCGTATGTGAAAATTGATGCATGTCCCAATGATTGCATGATCTATTGGAAAGATACTTCGGATTTGACCGTGTGCTCGGTTTGTGGTAAATCAAGATATAAAATTACCAATGCAGATGATAGCTCAAGAAAAAAAATCGCAGCTAAGGTTATGTGGTATTTTCCTTTAAAACCAAGATTGCAACGATTTTTTATGTCGAAGCATATGGTTGAACATATGAGGTGGCACGCAACTGAATGTCCTAAGGATGAGTTTATGAGACATCCTTCAGATTCTCCAGCATGGAAGCATTTGGATAATATATATCCGGATTTTGCATCAGAAATTCGAAATGTCCGATTGGGGTTAGCCAGTGATGGATTTAATCCTTTTGGGAAAATGAGGAATGACCATAGCACATGGCCTGTGGTGCTTTCTGTTTACAATTTGCCGCCTTGGATGTGTATGAAGCAGCCAAATTTGTTGTTGTCTCTGTTAATACCAGGACCACGCAGTCCTGGTAAAGATATTGATGTATACATGCGTCCATTGATTGATGAGTTGAATGAGTTGTGGGAGGTGGGCACTCCTACTTATGATGCGTATTCCAACCAAAGTTTTACAATGAAGGCTGCTGTCTTATGGACTATAAGTGATTTTCCGGCTTATGGAATGTTGTCAGGATGGAGTACACATGGCTATAAAGCATGTCCACATTGCATGCATGATAAAGAATCTATTTACTTGCCGGCAAGTCGTAAGATTTGTTATATGGGGCATCGACGCTTTCTTGAAGATAATCATAGGTTTCGAAGGCAAACCATAGCTTTTAATGGTCGCCGAGAGCATCGTAGTGCACCAAGGCAGTGGACTGGTTTACAATGTCTCGAAGAACTTTCTACATTGAGATTTACTTTTGGAAAACCAAATAAAGATGCTTCAGTTGGGCAACGCAGAAGAAGAACTTCGAGCAGTACAAGTAGTAACAGTCAGTGGAAGAAGAAATCTATTTTTTATGAACTACCTTATTGGAGGCATCTGTTGATTAGACATAATCTTGATGTTATGCATATCGAGAAGAATATATGTGACAGTGTGGTGGGAACATTGCTAGATATAGAAAAGTCTAAAGATGGATTGGCAGCACGTGCAGATCTTGAATTCTTGAACATAAGACGTAGTCAACACCCACGTAGAGAAGGAAACAGAACATTTCGACCTCCAGCATTGTTCACGTTGAACAGAGAAGAAAAAACTGCGTTTTGCAAAGTGTTGTCTACTATTCGGGTCCCCGATGGATATTCATCAAATTTGTCACGATGTGTACACGTGAATGAACGAAAAATACATGGGTTGAAAAGTCACGATTGCCATGTTTTAATGCAATAGTTACTCCTGCTTGCAATACGCCCGGTTTTTCCAAAAGCTGTTACTATGGTATTATTAGAGTTGAGTGCAATTTTCAGACAGTTGTGTAGTAAGAAGGAGACTGAAGAAGGATTCAAGCAACTGAATTCAAGAATTGCCTTGACATTATGTCAACTTGAAAAAATATTCCCTCCTGCATTTTTTGATATAATGATGCACCTCCCAGTTCATTTGGCAGATGAAGCAGCTCTTGCAGGGCCTGTTCCATATAGATGGATGTATCCAATTGAACGGTAATAAATAAATTTTTATAAATTTTTACAATTATAGTAACTTTAATTAATAATTATAATGATTTGTATTTCGTTTTATAATTATAGGTATTTGCAAACACTGAAGCGCTATGTTCGTAATAAGGGTCGTCCTGAAGGTTCTATTGCTGAAGCATATTTGGTGGATGAGTGCTTGTCCTTCTGTTCCATGTATCTTAGAGATGTTGAGTCTCGTCGTACCCGTAGAGGCCGAAATGAAGATGGTATTGGACGTGGAGTATCTGGTGGGTTATCAATTTTTGACTCGAAAGGATGTTATATGGGTTCAGGAGAAAATGTGGAGCTCGATCTAAATGTTCTTGATCAGTGCCATAAATACATTCTAAATAATTGTGATGAAGTTAGCCCATTTCGAAGGTAAGAACGTTTAATCATACATCTTAATGTTTTATTGGTTTTCTTAACTTTGAAAAATTAATTATCTAAATTTGGACATAATTGTCTAGGCAACATGAGGAATTCTTGAAAACTAAACATCGTCGAGAAAGGTTAACTATGCGACAAATTAAGGAGCTAAGCAAGAAAGAATTTCCAGAATGGTTCAAGCAACATGTGAGTTGATATAACAATCACATTATTTATTTATTGTTTTGCATTTTAATTATAACGTGTTTATAGTTATTATGGCAATTTTTATCTTCATACTTATTACAGATGAATTCAAGATGTCAAGCTAATGACACGTTGATATCTCAAGACTTGTATTGGCTAGCTAATTATCCAAGTAGGGTTGTGAGTAGATACAAAAGTCACATTGTTCATGGTTTTAGATTTCGTATAAAATCTGTGGATGACAAGCATAAGAATCAAAATTGCGGTGTCTTTGTACCTGCAAATGTTCCTGGAGCACTTGGGCAAGTGAATTGTTATGGCAGAGTAGTAGAGATGTTCGAAGTTAAATATTGTGGTCCTACTGAGGCAGGAGATAGGGGTCGAGCTGTGATGTTATTTAAGTGTGAATGGGTTAATAGTGAAAGCCCACGAGGAATGAAAACCGATCAATATGGATTTACTATGGTGAATTTCAATCAATTGGGATTTAAAGAGGATCCTTTTATATTAGCATCACAAGCATTACAAGCATTTTACGTAGAGGACACAATTGAAAAAGATTGGCACGTAGTTGTTCGAACCCAGCCGAGGGATTTGTTTGACGTATTGGAGGATAATGATGCAGTTGACGATTATGCCATACCTAACTTGGATGATCGAATTCTTGATAATGAAAATTTCCATACAAGGGTTGGCGTGGAAGAGACTCCTTTTCTTGAATCATTACCGTTGCCTACCGAGCTCTTTAATCAAGTCAATGCCGACGACGAGCTAACGGATGATGACAGGGAATAAGTATATCAATTATTTTTTGTTTTAATTAGACCATGTTTCAATTAGTGTTTGATGATATTTTATTGTAAATTATATTTCTGTTTTTTATTAAATATTATTTATAAGTTGTTTTTTATGTTAAAATATTATATAAGATAACATAACAACTTATTTTTTAACGAAGGGTTAAACGTTTTTTTTTTTTTTTTCTTCCTTACTGTCGCTTTTAGCCGACGGCATATGTAATCTGCGTCGGTTTAGTTTAAATATTGTGGGCGGGAATTTTCCCGGTTTTTTTGCACGGGGAAATGGTGTGGAAAACTTATGTCAGTCATGTCATAGTTTGCGTCCGTTTGAACCGACGCAATCCCTTACTAATCCGACGCAAAGATATCTTATTCCGACGCAAAGATATCTTATTCCGACGCAATCTTTGCATTTCCGAGGCCACTGATACGATAGTCAATGTGTCAGGGTAACGTCGGTTTAAACCGACGCAATCTCACCCTATTCCGACGCAAAGGTCTCCTATTTCGACGCCACTTGCGTTTAGTCAAAAGTCTGTCAGGCTTTTAAGTAAACCTATGTCAGGCTAGGTGTAGCTGGTGCAAGTCAGGGTTTGCGTCGATTTTAATCGACGCAATATGTAAATATTTCGACGCAATGTATAAAAGTATCAGTTTGTCAGTGATAGTGTCGGTTTGGACCGACGTAATATCTTCATAATTCGACGCTGAACTTGTATCCATATTTGAGCCCCTTCTTTCCCATTTTTCCGTGCTTCCATTTCTCTCTTTCATTTCTCTCTCTCGTTCACTTCCTCCCATTCTCCCAATTCTCTTTCCCTCATTTCAGCCATATTCATTCCACTAAAATTTGCTATGGATAATTCTTGTCAAGAACAACGTTCTGAGGAACTTCATATGGAAGAGGAGTTCGAGGCTGGTTCATTTTGGAATTATTATAATTTCAGTTTTGTTTTGTGTTTATACTAGTATTATGTTTAAACTGAAAAGCTACATTTGTTTGTGTGTTTTTAATTGCTTGCTTTATGTTATAATAAGGAACATCTCAACGGAGGCGGGGTCCCTCAATTCCTAAATGGACGAAACAGCTTTGTTCGTTTGATTCGTCCGGAAAATGCATTAGTGATAATTCTAATGCATTTTCAAGACTTGTAGCAGCGGAGGTACGAGACAACAGAAATTTCCCGTTGGAGAGGGATTGGCGTAAGATTAAGCAAGAAGTCAAGGAAGTTTTGTGGAATAGAATAAAGGTATATATATAATTTTTTTTCCTTGAAAATAGAAGAACAAAACCGATAAATTTAATAGTGATTGGTTGGCTTGATTATTTTTTTATGAATGCAGGGAAATATTTTTTTTGATGATGCTGATATTGTGAAGATGCCTATAATTCGTCATATGACGCTTAAGATTGCTGAGCATGCACATAAGGAATATAGAAATAAGTTAAAAAAAGAGCATTATTCTAAAAGAGCAGAAGAGGAGCGCAGCCACCCTCCTCCTGAAGTGAATTCTGCAGATTGGGCTGCATTGGTGGCACACTGGAATCAGGAAAAAGCTAGGGTAATTGTTATATGATTTATTTCGTTTTAACTTTAAATCTGCCTAAAAAAGTCCCCTTTTTTGTCAGGAGGTAGCTGAGAAAAATAAGATTAATCGGAAAAAGAAAACAATGAACCATACTACTGGGACAAAATCTTTTGCAAGAAAACGGCAAGAATTTGTAAGGATTGTTCACTTTAAAGATATGTTATTAATTTTAAATAATACATAGTTATAAATTTTATTTTTAGTATGAGGTGCTTAAAATTGCTTGTATGAAACTTTATTTTTCATAAAGCGGAACAAGCATGGGAAAGAGGCAGATCCAGTAACCTTTTTCCGTGAATGTCATACACGAAAGGATAAAAGTTGGATTGATGAAACGTCGGAGCGTACAGCGGTAATTGATGTTTTCGTTGATTTTTTCGTGTTTATCTTTTGTTATTAATTTTTAATATGTATAACTTATTTTTCTGTTTTACTATAGTTGTTTTTTTTTTTAATTGTAATCCAAGGCAACCATGGAGGGCAATTTACAAAATTTGATTGAGTCGGGCCAAGATGATAATGAAGAACTTAGGACCCGTGTTTATGTTGATACAATGGGTCCTGAGACTCATAACAGAGTCAGAGGGTATGGTCATGGGGTGACCCCTGATATGGTGTCCTATGCATCTTCTTCATCTTCTACATCAAATTCCTCCAGGAGGTCATCTAATAGTGCAATGGCATTGCTGATGACTGAAAATAATATGTTGAGAATGAGGGAAGAAAATACTAATAAACGGCTTTCTGACCTAGAGGGCAAGTATGAACATAGTAATCAGTTGCTTACTATGTTTCTCCAAAAATTTCAGCCTCAACCACCGTATAGCCCGGGAACTCAACAGTCAGGCCAGGGTCAGCCTCCTCAACAGTCGGGCCATAGTCAGCCTCCCCCTGCATATCCGCATGCTGGCCATAATCAGCAACCCCCTTCATATCCTTTGTATCTGATGCCTACGCCCATGTCATACATGCAGCAGCCGCCCATGCCATATATGCAGCATCCTCCCATGTCATACATGCAGCAGCCTTCGCATTATCAAACCCCAGTATATCGACCTGAGATGGCTGCTCCTGCTGTATTTTGTCCTGAAGTTCTAGTTAGGGGGTTTTCTGGAATGCTTGCTGGTGGTGGATTTGATGTGGACTTCACAAGGTATTTAGGAGCAGATGGGGGATCTCAAGGAGGAGAAAGATCGGGCCCACATTCAGTCTCAGGCTCAGTTGAGTAGTTTATTTGGTTCGCTTTCTTGGCGGATAAATATGACACATTTGTTCTATATTTTTGTTTTTGTATGTTACGTTTGTAATGTCGGATTTAGTGTTTGTTGTGACGGATGAATTTTTGTTTATTATGTGGAACGTTTGATGTATAATATTTGTATATTTTGGCACTATATGTCTTGTTAATTTTTTTTATTAATGTTTGTTTTGGTCAGAACTTGAAAAAATTTATTAAGGTGGTTAGAATTTTTTTTAGTACCAATTAATTGAAAATGATGCAGATATACGTTTTTAGAAAAATACTAACAAGGCTAGTGTCGGTTCAGACCGTTACTAGTTTGAATATTTTATTTATGTAATGGTTTTCTTACGTCGGTTTAGGAATATTTTAATTATTTAATTTTATTACAGTGTTGGTTAGAACCGACGGTATGGTTTATATATATTATAATTAAATTGCTGACTTTGAATTTTTTTTTATGTAATTGTTATCTAACGTCGGTTTAGTATATTTTATTTATTTAATTGTAAGACAATGTCGGTTAGATGCGACAGAAGAGTTGCTATATATTATAATTAAATTGTTAAATTTGAATATTTTATTTATTTAATGGTTATATAACGTCGGTTTAGGTATATTTTATTTCTATAGTTTTATGGGAATGTCGGTTATAACCGACGCAATGTTATGGATTTATTATAATTAATATTCAGTTGTACGTCGGTTGTAAGCGACGCTAATGTCAGTGTCGCTTTAAACTGACGCTGTATAGTGGCGGATTAAGCAATGAGACCGACACTGAAGGCGTTTTGTGACGCAAGCATTAGTGTCGCTTTGGAAATGCGACATTACATTGTTTTATGTCGGATATTTACCAAATTGCCGACAGAAATTAGGTTTATTGTCGGTATTTGCTTCGCCGGTGATAGCCTGTATTGTAGTAGTGACATAAAAAAAGTGTTTCCAGCTAGGATTTTTGAAGAACACGGAGAGGAGGCTCAGAAGGGCTAAAGCAAGGTCTTGAAAGTTACAAGCCTTCTAACCAAAGAGAAAATGAGCTTAACATAATCCTAACAAACCTAAATATATTTTTGTTTTAATTAGCCAGGTACAACCCACGAAGACACTTGTTAAATGCCAATTCAATCAGAAAAGATCAAGGGTGAGAAACTCACTCAAGAGTGAAGGAGTAAGACAAGCCCATATGGGTTTTCTTAAAATATGTGTCCGATTCACATGCAAAACGCATGCATAAAGTGATCTGAAAATTTCACTAGTCATAATGCATAAGATACTTAAAAGTGAAATACATATTTATGAACAAACCTGGCTTGTGTTTTAATCACAGCCATTCGCACTTTGATCTTTATATATCAGACTTCAATATCAAGTATCCTAAGCTAATCTAATGTAAATTGATTTAAAGAGTTTGTGTGATAAAGAGTTACAAATTTCACAAGGAAATCCAAATAATATCAATTCAATTGTTCACAACTTTTACTTGTGACATTGTGTTGTGACCTAAAATTTAGAGAGAGAAAAGGGAAGAGGTGCAGCAAAGAGAAGAGAATGGGTTGAGGAATTCTGGGGATTTGATTCCTCATGCATAGTGTCTTTATTTATAGTAATAAAACGGAGAGAATAACTTGCTCTCCAAGTAATACAAAGTCTAATAAAAAATATCTACTAGATTCCAAATGATTCCTAACTTATATCTACTTATGACTTACACAATCACATAATGTGAAATATTAATTACAACACTTCCTCTTGAGTGTGTAAATACTCAACACTCAAGTAGTAGACACATCAGACCTTCAAGCAAATGTGAAAGTAGTTGGTGAAGTCGTCTCGTAGGCACAATGAGCGAATGCGAGTCTCAGAACAAGCGGAAGAATGCATAAGGTGTAAAACACACAAAACCTCGTTATGGTAAAACTCAATGTACCATAAAACCCATTTATGGAGAAAATTGAGAAGTTTCATTAAGTCAAAACTAAACACCTTCACGACAGAAGTAGAACACACACAAGGGTATGACTAGCCCAGGATAAGTGCCTCGTTAAAACCTCATTAGGTAGGAAAAATTCAACAGGAAAAATGCTCCTGATCTAAGGAAAAATAGTACATTAATGTCAAGTGAGTATACTTCTGGATACTTCTGCCGCCCTTTTGGGTGGCTT